TGCTTATTGAGCAGCTACTAAGGGGCCAGCCATTCACGCAAATGTGCTGAGAGAGACACTTCTGAAACTAAACCAGGCAGTTGCACAGAGGGTGGACTGGAGGAAGTTACGCCCTGGGCAGCCTGGGAGGCAGGCAGCGGCCAGTGTCTGGGCACAAGGTGATGACAGCGATGTGGAGGGAAGGCTGGAACCTGAAGTCCCACTTCATGAGGAAATACTACAGAGTGGGAAGAGGATGTCAGACTGCTTGGAGAGTTAGAAGTACTCCCCATTTATACCCAACAACAGGGATATACAATTTATAGAGCTTTTTATTTTAAACATTTAAAAACTCAAATAACCCTGAAGGTCTTAGTTGTTCACCTTTTAAACAAACCTCAGGCCTCTTGTCCTAATCTTTAGTGACCTACTCCATTAGTTCTTTTTTTTTTTTAACATTTATTTAGTGTGTGTGGGGGGGGGGGCCAGCTCAGCCCACCAGGGGGCGGGGCTGGCTGGCATGTGGTGCTGGGGGATCGAACCGCGGTCCCTGTGCTTTGCCAAGCTTGTTCCAAGTAGGTGCTTTAGACCACTGAGCCATCTCTCCAGCCCCTCCATTAGTTCTTCAGAATAAAAACGTTTCAATCCTCCAGTCACCAAATAGCTGTCTCTATTTGAAATGCTTACTGCCCATTTATACCTTTCAAACAGGCTTTTGATGTTTGTTCATTTCAGAGTACAAGGCCCTTCCTCTCCCATAGATCACAGATTTATGAAAGGACATGGGGGAGCTTGGAATGCACTACTGTATAAATCAATGTGTAAAAGAGAACTCGTGAAATGGAAGTGTTAAAATTTGCTATTTCTTCCTATATGCAGATTTCAGTAGTAATAAGGCATATTTCAAAATTCTCAGTGTGTAATCTTATTTCCTAGTAGTAACTAACACAGTGACAAGAATTACTTGGGCCTAGGGATACAGCTCAGTGGCACAGCACTTGCCTGGCGTGCACAAGGTCCTGAGTTTGATCCCACACAGGGCTGGGGAATGTGGCTCAGTGCACAGCACCTGTCTGGCAAGTACAAGGCTCTGATTTCAATTCTAGGTACAAAACAAACAAAAAATATCCTAGCGCAAAAACAAAATGAAACAAACTTTTATGGGTTTAAATGTTTTATTGAAGAAGAAATGAATATTTTAGTGTATCATAGATGATATGTTATATAGAAATTGAAACAAAATATTAAAAATTACCTGTCAACAATAACTATGCATTAAGTATCCCTTAAATTTGTTATTATATATCAAGGTAGAAGATGTTGACTTGTATCTGGTAATCTGAGCAACTAATTTGAAGACAATAATATGTAATGTAATAATCATTGTCAATTTAATATCATCTTGTTTTGAAATTCTGTATCTTTTTTTCTCTTTAAAACAAAATTTTTTAACTGGTAACTCTTTATGTTAGTCAATATACTTAAAAACTTGCAGAAAAGAATCTTTGATGTTACCTTAAAAATCATTAAATACTAACAAATTTTTGAACCTCTACTATGTGGGAAATAAGGGAAAATGTAGTGTTTTCCCCCCCTTGTGGACAGCCCAGCTCACCCTGGGGGGGGGGGTCTGGAACAGCATGTGGTGCCGGGGATCAAACCATGGTCCCTGAGCTTGCCTAAGTTTGCCTAAGCAGGCACTTTAGACCACTGAGCTACCTTGCCGGCCCAAATGTAGTGTTTAAGAAGAGAAAATGGAAGGGATGGTGAGATAGCTCAGTGGACTAAGTACCTGCTTAGGCAAACACAGGGACTGGGGTTTGATTCCCAGCACCATACACTGTGCTGGCCCTGCCCCCGAGTGCTGAGCTGGCCACTGGGTGTGATGGTGCACACCTGTAATCCCAGCACTGGGGAGGCTGAAATCAGGAGGATCACTGGGATTTGGAGCTGCATAGTGAGACCCTGTACCAAATACATTAAAAAGGAGAAGAAGGAAAAGGAGGAAGAAGAGTAGGAAGAGGAAGAGAAAGAGATAGAGAACAAAGAGAAAATGGGACTGGTGAGCTAGCTCAGCAGTCTAAATACCTGCCTGGCAAGCTCAAGGACCAGGGTTCAATGCTTGGTACTGCATGCCATGCCAGCCCCATGCCAAGGCAGCCACCAGGTGTAGTAGTGTGCAATCCCAGCAGTGGGGAGGCTGAGACAGGAGAATCACTGAGAGCCTGAGCTGTGTAGGGAGACCCTGTACCAAATAAGTAAATAAATAAATAAAAGATTAAAAAAAAAAAAAAAAGAGAGAGGGGCTGGTGAGATGGCTCAGTGGTCTAAAACACTTACTTAGAACAAGCTTAGCAAAAAACAGGGACCGTGGTTCAATCCCCCAGCACCACATGCCAGCCAGCCCCGCCCCCTGGTGGGCTGAGCTGCCCCCCCATAAATAAATAAATAAATAAATAAATAAATAAATAAAATTTTAAAAAAAGAAGAGAGACATTGCCAGTCCTATGAATAACCCACTACTATTATGGAGTACTGGTCTATATTGGATTATTTTGCTAATTCACACACCTACAATATTTAAATGGCAATGGAATACCCATGTCTGACAAAACAAAAACAGGGGATACAAATGAAAGACCATTTTGTATCTGTATATACAAAATAGTTAGGTTAGATATACAGCTACTTCCTCTTAATTCAATGAGAAGAAAGATTTGTACTAATACTGTTTGAACAGGATATCATGTCTGCATCGTATACTATGAGTAAGTACTACAAAGACAACAATATGCAATGTATTAATTATCGTAATTGTCCTACTAACCTGTTTTGAAACTATCTCCTTGCTATTTGTTTCTCAGTAAAATTAATAAAAAATAAAGATGTAGAAAAAAAAGAGAAAATAAATGAGCTGCTGAACATTAATAAAAATTGCAAGTTACATGCTTATAATGTTTCAGGCTTTATTCTACAGACTATTGGTTTTTGTTTTTGTTTTTTTTTTGCAGAACCAGGGATTGAACTCAGACCCTTGCGCTTGCCAGGGAAGTGCTTATTCTACTGAGCCATCTCCCTGGCCTTGGGACTATTGGTTTAAATCTGTTCCTTACCACTACACTGGAAGGCAGGCACTCTAATTATCCCTATTTATCAATGGGAAGACTGAGCTTCACAGAAGTTAAGCAACCTGTCCAAGTTCTTACAGCCATGGAAGATAAGACAGATATTTAGCTACTGAGTGTGTCTGACAGCTATAGCAAAATACATTAGACTGGGTAATTTAAAAACCACAGGAATTTATTGCTCCCAGTTTTGGAAGGTAGAAGATCTGCTATGCTTCACAGATGGTATCTTCTTACCATGTTCTCAGCAACAAGAAGAGAACAATCTCTCAGGCTTTTTTTATAAAGGTGCTAACCCAGTTCATAAGAGTGGAGCCCTCATGAGCTGATGATTCCCACAGCTCTGCCTCTTCATGCCCCACATCGGGGGTCAGGCTTCAGCACAGGCACTTGAGCGGAGGGGGTACAGTCAAACCATAGGGAAGAGTCTACCGGGAGGAAAGGGTAAGAAAACAGTTTCATGGACATAGGATTTGAAGCAGTATTTACAGAATGACAGAAAATGAAGAGAGAGTAAGGAGACAAGGACAAAAAGAAAGCAAGGGAGAACAGTAGATGGTATAAATAAAGGTATACAAAATCAAGGTGGTGAAGAGAGTGATGCACCCACTGAGGCCACGTGACTACAGTGTCCCCTCAAAGTAACAGTGGCCATGTACAGGGTATGGGCGTAATTCTGCCAAGGAGCACTGGGTCTGTAGGAATTCAGTTATCATGCAGAAAACTATAGAAACATACCAGTGAAGGTTAAAAATCAAGGTAAATCCGAATGCTTGCAGTTAGGAAATTTCAATACTTCCTTTCATCTATCTGAGGTCTCACAAGAAGCTGATCATAAATGCTCCTCTTGGGCTGGCAAGATAGCTCAGCAGACTAAGCACCTGCTTTGGCAAGTGCAGGGACCAAGATTCAACCCCCAGTCTGCATGTCATGCAGTTCCCCCCTGGGGGGGAGCACACTGAACTGGCCACCAAGTCTGAGTGCAGTGGTACATGCCTGTAATCTCAGAACTGGGGAGGCTGAAAACAGAAGGGTCACTATGAGTCCGAGTGCACACTGAAACCCTGTATCAAATACATTAAAAAAAAAAAAAAAAAGTTCCTCTTAAGCTTCTAGATTCACTCTGGACTAGAGAAATAACAGACAGAAAGTTCTACTCAACTTTGTTCAAGGCCTTTGGAAGAGAAAAAAATCCAACAATTGGCATGAAAGTTACAGCCAAGGGTCATGACGACTCTCTTGTGAAAATGGAGACAGGAGAGTGCTCAGAAGTTCACCTTGCATTTGCACCTGAAATTTGCAGCATGTGATTTGTATCATGCTGAACACTGACGTAACATCTCAGACAGTTCCACGTGAAACATTTTCATCACTAGTTTCTAAATCAAATGCAACTTTATCTTATTTCATTTGCAATGATGGGGATTGAGCCAAGGGCCCTATGCATGCTCAGTGAGCACTCTACCACTCTCACCTCTGATCCGTAGATTTTAGAGATCCTTTTGGCATTTCACAGGCTGAAATCCATAAGTGCTGTATTTTCATCATTCTAAGAAATAATCATCTAAGGTTTTAAAATTCCTTTCCCTTGAGGAATCATGAGTCCCCCCATTTCTCACCTTTAGCCCCACCCATCTAGGAGCTTGGACAGCCCAGGCTGCCAGTCAGATGACAGGAGCATTGTGATGTGACCCCATGGGGACTGGAAATGTGGCCAGTTTGGGAGTTGGCAGGAACACCACTCTTGATCATGAAAAATGGAAACCAGCCAGGGTAACAAATTAATAACTTTTAAAAGACTGGTGCTGTTTCCTCCCTTTTTTAAATACAGACTTAAAGATACTCAGTATCTATTATGTATTTATCTGAGGTTATAAGTACATTTTTTACCTTACATTTAGAGTTCACAATCCATCAAAACCTTGCGTGGAACATTTCAAGGTGGCTCCTCAACATCCAAGTATTCAGCAGGCATGGTGAGAGGCACTAATTCATCTTTTAGGGTCCTGGAACACATTCATTATAGAGAAATGAAGTACAAAACATTACATGACAATTAGTATTAAAACTTTAGGTATTAAAACTCTATAGAGAATCAAGATGACTTTATTTCTCTTTATCATTTTTTTTTTTTTTTTTTTTTTTTTTTTTGGCAGAACCGGGGATTGAACTCAGGCCCTTGGGCTTGGCAGGCAAGCACTTATTCTGCTGAGCCATCTCCCCAGGGCCCTATCATTCTTTTTAAAATGAAATTTTCTGTAAGAAAGTAATTCTGCTGCTATAAGACAGAAAGGGAGTGGTGAGAGTGTGGGCTTTAGAGCGGGGCTGTCTAGACTTGCCACTCGCTCGCAGTATGAACTTAGGCGAATGACATCACCTGCCTGGGCCTCATGAGGGCCCAGTACATGAGACGGAGGCAGCAACCGCACCCCGCTCTAATTCTGTCACAAGGCTAAGATGAAGAATGCCTGTGCGTGCATAAAGCCAGGCTGGCAAGAGCAAGCCCGCAATACATTTTGACTACTTTGTTTGTGCCACTCAAATCGCTGCAGCGAACTGGCAGCCCACCTCTTCCGTGCTGCCAGCTGGGCTGCTCCCGAGACCGCTGTGCCATTCTGAAGTCCTGCGTTTCCCAATTATAAAGTGTTTCTTCAATGACATTTATCAGAAGTACCGTTAGAGAAAGCACAGCTCTGAGTTCTGGTTTAGCTAGTGCAATCAACCGCTAATATGAAGGGGCCTTAGATAGATGCAGGCTGGCTACGGCTGGACTATTTCACAAGCTGAACACTGGGGACATTTACAAGATCAGCATGATTTCAGTCTCTTCAGTGAGACCATAAGCCGTGCTCACGCTGTGGTAAAATGCTTTTCCCTTTTGTCACATGAAGCAGCGCGTCTTACTGAACTAGTTTTTATCTTTCTATATTTCTTTTGGAAAAAGTCACAACTCAGAAGTGCATACACACACACACACACACACACACACGTGCCTCTGTTCTTTAATCAAACATAATACTTCCTTTTTAAAGAAGACTGATTTTTAAAAACGTTTTTAAAATGAGAACATAAATTATTTTCCAGCCATTTGAATAAAATGTAATCATGTGGGCCAACCAGATAGCTCAGTGGATTAAACCACCAGCTTAGGCAGATGCAGGGGCCGGGGGTTCCATCCCCAGTGTGCTGTGCTGGCCCTGCCCCCAGGGCACGCTGATATGCAGACTAAGACTGCGTGTAGTGGCACGCGCCTGTAATCCCAGCACTTGGGAGGCTGAAAACAGGAGGATCACTATGAGTCCAGTCTGCGTAGTGAGACCCTGTAGACCCTGCACCACATACCAAAAAATAAAAAATAAAAAAAAATGCAATCATGCTAGACAGAATTTCATGGCGTCTTTTCTTTAAAATCTGATAATTAGAGTACATCATTTCTAACAGCCCTCTACTAACTAATTCCTCCTCACAAGGATGGAATTTATAAATGCTACAACATTTTGCTGTAGCAGTCATAGGAGAAAGAAAATATTCATAAAAGTGCAAATGTTATGAGAGAGAGAGAAAAGACCAGGATATCAAGCTACTCTACCAATGTCCAACCAGAAAGGAAGGGGAAGCAGGTTATCACCAGGAAATGTAAAGAGTCTGTGATATTCTTCTTGGAAACAACAAAATTAGCCTGCTACCCTTTCTTGGGTGCTGGTAGAAGACAAAAGACTCTTGGATCCGAGACAAAAGAAAGTCTGTTGCCCCCAGCAATAACAGTATCCAGAAGGTAGCATTTCTCTATCACTTCGGGCGACGCCCCAGTCTCCACAGAGATGCAATGAGGGCCAGACAGCACGTGCACGCACCATGGCTCGTTACACAGTAAGAACCTGAGCGTAGGGACTGTGAACCTTTCATAATTAGCAAGTTCCTATTCTCTGCTTAGGAGAGAAACATCCTCTTTATTATGCGGGAGAGTAAACATGGCTGATGTTTGCTCTGGAGGAAGATGTTCTTTAAATTCTGAGACTGTTCACTGTACAGACATTTAGTCAGGAAGACAGAGTGGATGGTGCCCAGCTCACATAACGTGCAAAAACACTACAACTCCGTGGATAATTATCTTCCAAAAGTTATCAATAAGCAATTTTACATTGTCCATTTGAGTAGCAGTATGTGTGTGTGTGTGTGTGTGTGTGTATGTGTGTGTGTGTGGTCCTATGTTGGTTTCAAATATGCATTTCTCAAGGGATATCACAGAACTCAGAGGCTAAAAAAATGTGAAAGCAATGGGATTATTACTTAGTGTAGAATAATAAGACTACATTCCTTCCAGTAAGATCAAGTGCTCTCTGTCCTATTGAAGATGATAGGCAACTCTCTATTGTAGCTGACGCTTGTAAGGAAAAAAGGGAACATTCGCCAAGATGCTTATCTTAGCAATAGTCATTAAATTAGTTCAAAGAGCTATGATTCTCCTTTCTGAAGGGAAAAATCCTATGAATGTTCTGCAGTCTTTAACTATAGAGTAACAATTAAAATATCCTATTCCAAGGGATTTTATTCTTCTTGAGATGTCTAAGACAGGTATGAAAAGAAGGCAGCTTTAGGGTCAAATGAAGTTAGGCAGATCCCAGGTTTAGCAAAGCTGAACAAGCATACGAGGCATGACCACAATCTTCAAACATTTAAATTCAAAATCATATTAAGACCATATTGCCAGGGCCTGCAAGATAGCTCAGCAGATTAAAGCAAGCCTAGGCAAGCGCAGGGACCGCACTTGATTCCTGGCACCACAAGTTGCACCAGCCTCGCCCTGAGGGTGGGCTGAGCCTCTTCAGGGTGTAATGGTGCACACCTGCAATCCCAGTGCTGGGGAGGCTGAAAGCAGAAGGATCACTATGAATCTGAGCTGCGCAGTGAGACCTTGTAACAACCAAATACATTTAAAATAAAAAATCATTCTTAAAAAGAAAAGAGAGGGGCTGGTGAGATGGCTCAGTGGTCTAAAGCACCTACTTAGAGCAAGCTTAGCAAAGCACAGGGACCGCGGTTCAATCCCCCAGCACCACAAGCCAGCCAGCCCCGCCCCCTGGTGGGCTGAGCTGGCCACACACACACACACACACACACACATAAAAATAAATAAAATTTTTTAAAAAAGACATATTGCTACAAACTCCCTTCAAAGTACCCCCCCATTTCAAACACCCTTACTCCATCTTTCTTACCACTTTTTGAAGTAGATCTGCAAGTCCTCTTTCATGTCCTTACAAGGTGTGATTCAAAAAAACACGGAACGCTGCTGCTGAGTTCCATCAGAAAGCAGGCTTGGGGAACATTACAGCGTGTGTCCTCATCCGCCTATTTACCAAATTCGGCACTGTGAAGCCTCTGGCTCCCTCCAAAGGCAAAATGACCGTGAGCAGTAGGTATTTCGAATCCACCAAGAACACTGAGGCAGCCGTGATGGCATGGCCAGAGACACCAGGGAGGACGTCCAGAACAGCTTCAAAGGTGGCAAGAGCAATGTGGCAAGTGCTCCAAGCGAGCGGGAGTATTCTGAGGGGGACTGAAAGCAGTGTGTCTCTTACTGCAGTAAATGTTCATTTAGACATTTGCTATACTTCTGTATCTTAGCTTGTATTTAAGCCAGGATTTCCTGAGCCCTATAAATATAAACATACCTTATGAATCTTTAAGACAGACACTATATTCCCCAGCCAATTTAACCAGTTGCCAATTTTTCAGGGCTTCTCAAGGAGTAGAGTTCTCCAGGCAGCTGTCCACAAATGCCTCACTACAGCAATGGCCGATACATCGGATGTTTAGCAGACACTGACGGGGTGGCCCATAGTTTACTTCAACTCTGATGCTACCAGGAGATGACATCAGGTCAACCTGCAGGCAGCTCAGTCCACAGAAGACTGCCCCCCAGCGTCCCACATTGCCCACTGTTTCCTGCTAACCAGGCTACCAATGGAAATTCCCGATGACCCCTTCCTCAGGTTCAATCAGTTGCTAGAAAAGCCTACAGAAATCAGAAAAATACTTTAGTTCCAGGACAGCTGGTTTATTACAAAAGCTATATAAAAGGACAAATGAGCAGCCACCTGAAGAGACACACAGAGCAGGGTCCGGGCACAGGTGCTCCTGTCCTTTGGAGTTGCATCATGCACTTCCCTCCTGGCATAGGAATGTTCTCATCCACTAACCTGGAAACTTGAACCCCCTGCTTTTGGGTTTCCATAGGAACATCATGACAAAGAAATGAGTAAGTCACTTTCTAGCGCCTTTCCATTCCCTGAAGGTTGTGGGTGGGACTGAAAATTCCAATCTTTTAGTCATAGGGTGGATTTCCCTGTCAACCAACCTACAACAGTTCTGAGAAAAAAAAAAAAAAAAAAAAATTCCAGGGGCCTTCCAAAAATCACTATTTATTTTTTGAGACAGGGTCTTGCGTTGTGCTCCCGACTGAACTTGAACACACCATGCAGCCTAGGCTGGCCTTGAAACCAAAGCAATCCTCCTGCCTCAGCCTCCCAAGTGTTGGGATTACAAGTGTGCACCACCACCACCACTGGCCCCAAAATCACCCCTTTAACATACACTACCATGCAGTTGGAAAGAGCTGGTTGTGATTAACAAAGGTTGTTTCTTTCACCTTGATGGTGCTTTAGGAACTGAGGACAAGATCCAAATATTTGTGACAATAGATGCTCCTATAGCTCTAATCTAATCTCTCTAAGATCTATAAACCAGAAGAAGTGGATGAAGATATATACAAAAAGATTTTTTTTTTCTTGGAACCGGGGATTGAACTCAGATCCTTGTGCTTGCCAGGGAAGTGCTTATTCTACTCAGCCATCACCCCGGCCCCCAAAAGATATATTTCTTAAGTCATAATATAACAAATCAATAAATGGGTTAACTCATTCCTAGCACTAACAAATGTGTTTCAGTTTCTCTTTCAATCACCCTTTCATGCCTCACTCTCCAAGTAACTAAGCAACACTGCAAGCTTTGTCTGAAAAGAAGAAAGAAAAGCACCAAAGAGCAGTACCAGTTACACAACCTCTGTTGTGTCTAGCTGTCCCCCAAACTCTCATGCAGTCATGCATCCGGCTTCTAGAATGTGTCATTGATTCCTGGCCCAATGCTGCGGGTGTGGGTGGAGTGCTGCACCACCCTGGGGCGGGCAGCCTGCATACCACATAAGGGAGGGGGATCCTTTCTCTCTCCTCCCCACTTTGGTCAGTTGCTCTTCCTACCTTCAGCAGCCACCATGCACTGGTGCCCTCTGCTTGGAAGCAGCTGATTATGGACTGAAACCTCCACAAACTGTGAGCTGAGTGAATCTTTTCCTCTTTAATTTGGGTGTCGGGTATTTTGTCTCAGCAACAAGACAAAAGCAACCAACACAATCTCCTCATCAATCATCTTTCTTTAGGTTTCTAGGAACCAGGAAGGTCTGGAACACCTGGTGACCTGGGACAACATCAAAACCACATCAAGAGGGCTCGTTACTACAAGCATTAGTGAGTTTTCCAGTGCCCACCTGGCTAGAACTACCTCGGATTCCCCAGAAATCTCACTTGTGGTGCCAATAATATGCATCAGGTGAAAGTTACCCATCTGTTGTTGAACCACCTGGATTGTAGGTCCAAAAGTGAAGCGCTCTCCCTGTGTATTTTGTGGTGCCCAAACTCAGAGGCACAGAAATGTTATGATCTCGTATTAAGAAGTTTGCTTTCAGTCATAAAGTGCTTTTCAGTTAAAGACTAAGCTCTAACCACCTCGTGAAGACACACTGGGGACGTGAGCAGGCCACTTGGGAAAAGTACAAATGAATCCGATTTCAGAAACTCCTATGAAAGTACACCATTAATCTCACAGAATATACTTGATGGGGTAATATATATATATATATATATATATATATATATATATGTATATTTATTTATTTATTTTTTTTTTTTTTTTTGTGGTACTGGGGATTGAACTCAGGACCCTGCACTTGCCAGGCAGGCACTTATTCCACTGAGCTATCTCCCCGGCCCTATAGATTAATTTTAAAACAAAAAATTTTTTTCCTCATAGGTCAAGCATGAGAACTCTGAAATTAGAGTTGCTTAAACCAGATCCTAAATCTCACTCACACCCATCGACTATCGACCACAGGCTGATGACAGTGGTGGGCCTCTGTCTTCTCTTTTGTCTATAGAGAAGATAACACTACTGGTGTAATGAACAGCGATGGTGATTAAGTGCAGATTAAGCCCATATTCAGCACAGTATGTACCCTAAGAATCCTAATTCATTATCAAGGAAAATTTCTGAATTTAGACCAAACAATTCTGTCCTGGGAACAGGAAATAAAATATACAAGGCTGAACTTAAAAGAATCTGATTCATTCATCTAAATAATCTTATTTTTAGATCTTGGGCATTGTCATCTCCCGTCACAACTGCACCTGCCACTTTAGGGTGAAGACCACACCTGACCACGGTACCTGCCAGGGAACTTCTGCACTGAGAGGTTTATTCTCCCAGCCTTGGCATTTTTAATGGTGCTGAGTCAAGGATTTCAAAACTGTTGCTAAAGGTTGATTTTATCTTGCAGCTATTAATTTGAAAGGTGTTAATGGCTGCAACAATGTTAGCAGCTGAAATTTAAAACAAAGCATGTTTCCTTCTAGCTCAGTTCTTTCCTGCAATGCTCAGGCATGGTCTGGGGAGAGCTGCACAAGGTGAATAGGGAAAAATACTGCTAGTGGTTCTGGAGTAGAATTTAAATTTTACTTTCACAACTACTTGGCTATAGCAACCCAAGACAAGACAAGAATAGCAGATTCATTTTACTTACTGATTTATTTATTTTATTTATTTTTTTGTGATACCAGGATTGAACTCAGGACCTTGCACTTGCCAGGCATGCACTTATTCCATTGAGCTATCTCCCCAGGCCCAGCAGGGGTCATTTGTTTAAAGAATAACCCCAGAATCAAAATATCAAGTCTAAAGTCGATACATATACATAATATATCATTTTAATATAAATTCTTTATGAGCTAAAGGACTCAAGTTTTACAGCCTGTCATATGATATGAGTTACACCGAGTGACCCAGTACCGGAAATTAAAACATCTTAAAACTCCTTTCAACATTTAATGATACTAGGTTCTCTGCTAGGTGTTGCTGATGGAATTAGAGTTGAATGAAAATACAGTCTCTGCTGGACAGGCTTTCAGACTGGTAATGAAGCAGGCAGAAAAAGATAACAGTGTTCTCTGTTAAGTGCTGAAATACAGGTTCACACTAAGCTCTATGGGTGCACAAACAAGCGGGAACTACTCCTGCCTGGAACCCATGGAGGCTTCATAGAAAAAATGGCTTTTTGAGCTACATCTCCAAAATAATGATACAGTCCAGCATGTGGGTTTTGGTTTTGTTTTATTTGTTTTGTAGGTAACAAAACAATGCAATGTTAGTACCATTTCCATACTGCCATAACAGTTTCTGTTTCATCACTTTAAAAAGCAGCTATTTCCAAAAGATAGATGAGGAATCTGAAATCCAAAGTCGGAAAACCTAAAAAGTCATGCAGTTCATGGCTCTGGATTTGACCCCAGATCTACAGGGACAGAAGGAGAAGAAGGGAAAAGAGGAGGAAGCCAAGGTAGAAGAGGGAAGAGGGGGAGGAGCCAAGGAGGGTGGCAAGAAAGGAAGGAAGGGAAGAAGAAAGAGAAGAGGGAGGGAGGGAGGGAGGGAGGGAGGGAGGGAGGGAGGGAAGAATTTTAAAAGATGAGCAAGAAAAACAAAAAAGAATCAGGTATAAAGTGAAAGGTCAAGGTGGAAATTGTAGAGACCAGGCATGGTGGTGTATGCCTATAATCCCAGCACTGGGGAGGCTGAAAACAGGAGGATCACTAAGAGTCCAAACTGCATAGTGAGACCCTGTACCAAATATGTAAAGGGAGAGAGGGAGGGAGGGCGGGAGGGAGGGGGAGAGAGAGAAATTGTATGCCCAGCTCATTTAGCCCACAGCAGCCTCTTCCTTCTCTAAACTTCAAACTTCCCATGTATGCCCAAGTCCCTCTCCCCAGCTGTGAAAACCATAACCAAGGCTGGGCATACACCTTACACTTCTCAGGACCCGGCACTCCTGCAAGCTTACTGACCACTTGCTGTTTCGTCTGGTGCTCTAGCCCAGTATGCTTTAAAGAGAGTTTAACAAGTTTGCGATTTGAGTTAGGTTGACTGAGGTCAAAGACTAGACTTCAGGATTATATGTTATAAAACAATAAAGCAAGCCAAGCAGTGGAGCACAGTGATTTTCAGACCAGTAGCTCTCAAGCTTTAATGAGCACATGAGTCACCTACCTGCGCGTGCGGACCTGTCCAGTCCACCCTGCTGGAAGGCAAGCACAGAGCGGGCAGAAGCATTGCTAGAAAGCAACTCAGGACAGGCTTGGCTTGCAGGGGATACAGATCTGACATTTCCAACCCTCATTAATGTTCTTCCTTGGCTTTCAGGGAAATAAAGCATAATAAGTATAATAACAGCTTTCATGTATTTAGTGCTAATAGAGTGCTTAGCACTCTGCTTGGGTCAGTAAGCATAGCGTTGGATACGGTGTTCTGCAGCCCAGCACTTACACTACTAGTGAGAGAAAAAATAAAAAGGAACAGTAACTTCTATAAGTAAAGAGGACCAGTAGGGATTTAAGACTGTTTCACTAGAGTTAAAAGTCTAGGGTTCAGTGCTTCCTTGGCACCAAGGGAGCATTTCAGGGGTCCTAAGCTTCAGCTGGGTGTAAGAGGACCCTAAATATCCTTCTGTAGGAGGTTTGCGCTTGCAGTAACTGCTTCACTGGGCCTTTAAGTCCAGGTTAGGTATCTGAGCCAGAGAATATTTCTGCACTTATCTGCTGGCTTACAAATTAGTTTAGTAGGGACTTACCCATCTGCTGCCCAGGAAGAAAGCTCCAGATTAGCTTTCTGTCAGGACCTAGGTTAGCTGAGGCCAGGCTACCCGCACCCCTTGCAGTGTTAAGGAGGGGTGCTGAGGTTGTCTACTAGGCCTGCACCAGACTGGAATGGGAAAATGCTGTGTTGAAGGGCGAGCAGGGAAACAGCTAAAAGCGCAATCGAATGACTTTTAGAGAACTTTTCGTTTAATTTGGCCTAAAGTATAAGTGGGAGATGATTTATACTAAAGTATAAAGGAAGACTTTTGGTGTCAGTCTTCACCAAGGCCAACGCATAAATTAGTACATCTATTAATTTCTCTACTCTAACACATCTATCTGCCTCTCCCAACCTGGCAGGACAAAGCATTAGTTTAATCTTGGGTGCTTTTAGAATAACTGAGATTGACAGGGTAGTTCCAGACCACTCTGTTACGTCGTGATCTTGTGGATTTCCACCAATGGGAAGATTTTCTTGCTAAAGATGTAAGTTTTCAAGAAGTCTGAGCCTGCCTTTTCATCTTGGAACTGGATGAAGGGTTGGGGAAGAGAAAAGCACGGTTCAGACCGATGAATGCGCGAGAACCCCTCCCCCACAGGCCCAACAACAGGTGGTGCGGTATTCAGGGTGCACTCCTTCATCACCTGCACCCCAAGAACCCTCAGGCCGAGTGCTCAAACCGAGCCCCCTGGAATCTGATGCTGAAAGACCAGCCAGCCCATCTAGCAGTGCCGGGTGGACCGGCTTTCCGGTCGCGGAGGAGGCTCGGTGGTCGAAGGCTCGGGCCTCCCGTCCCAGAGATCCTGGGTTTCGCCGTTCTCCTCCCGCCAGCCCCCGGCGTCCCCGCCGAAGGGTTATCTCCATCCTGACCCGGTCCTCCGAGGAGTTCCCACAGGGGCTATTTTTAGTGGTGGCCGCCGGGCTCCGGCTTACCCAGGGGAGGAGCAGCGGCCGCTGAGCAGCCTCGAAGCGCGCTGGAGCCGGGGTCTCCGCGGAGCTCCTCCCGGTGGGGCGGCGGCGCTGCCGCCCGCGCCAGGCCAGGTGCGCACGCGGGGCCTCGGGGAAGGCTGGGCGCGGGTGGCCTCCGCGGGGGAGGAAGTTCCCGGGCCCGCCGCCTGCGTCACAGCGGGGCTGGCACCGCGGCGTCTTTCGC